TTCTGCTTCAAAGGCAAATTGTGACAATATATATTAAAATTAGAATCGTCGTACAATGCGTGCCCATGAATACTAGCCCTAACACCAGTCTACGTCAGCGCTGGTCTGCAGGACAAAAACAAAATAGGTTTTGTCACATTGATTTTACAAAGATAAGTCATTTAAATTTTCTTTGATATTAATATATACTTTTGATACTTTTCATTTTCGCTGTAAACAGAATTGGTCATAGTACAATTCAAATTCGCTAGCTAACATACATATTAAACTGTCAGCATATTAAATCTTCTCAGACCATTCGAGGTCGATAAAGTTCCCTATCATCCACGTTTACACTATTAATCCTTTTTTTCATTTACGCATGAATAATGATTTTAGATATTATTTTACTTTAGTGAATTTTGTGGTCAAAATTACAATCACTTAGTATACGAAAAACACTGGTACATATATAGACGAAGCACGTGTACGTGAAATAAAGAAGTTTCTAGTTGCATACTTTAAGTATTCATGTGAGCAGGTGATACAATCATAGCCAATAAGCTACGTTACTACAAGTACTCATGCGTCATTTAACTGTCTTATCATAAATATAACACATAGATCGCTTAAGTGCCATTTACCCTTGATCGTATGAGAAAAACACATTTGAGAGATACGACCCTCATAGATAAGTCTGACAAATAAGGACAATGTATTTGTTTCCTTATGATTTTATATATTGATAACATTTATTTATACATCACACGAATATTGTCTTACACAACTTGCCATGTGTTAATTAGAGGTCAGTGAGACTTATACGTTTCATACTTTTGATTTCTTATCTTCTATCAAAGATGTTCTTGTTTATTGGAATAATTTACATTTAAATTAAGATATTAAAGAAATGAAGCTCTCCTTTGGAGTACCTTTACTCTTAAAAAGACTTAAAAATCAGTGCAAAATATTATAAAAATAATCAATTTTTTGCAGTGATATTCAATATTAAAGGACATCTTATCCGTAATGGAGACCAGTAGTGATGTCTATGACGCTACCACACTTCCCAGGCTCGAGCGTCTGAGGTGAGGAAGCACCCTTTAAGTAAAAACTGTACTTTTTCTTTATTTATTGTGATGTAATTTATTTTCATGCAGACGCTGTTATTTGTTAAATGAAAGAGTTGGAATTCCAGAAGAAACGCTTTTAAGTAAATTGTTGCTAATCTTATTAAACCAAGGATATACAATAAAGTAAAACGGAAGAAAAGTGTGTTTTAAAAACAAATCGTTTGTTAAAATATTTTGTACTCTCATTAAATGATAAGTTATTGTATTAAAGAAAAATAGATACCTTTTTCTTAGAAAAAAATACTAATAGATTGAATATATGGCTATGAACAAGTTAATTCAAAATAGAAGTTAAGATCAAAACATTTGTTGTTCATATATTCCGATAACAAATTTCGTGTAAAGATTTATTAATGAATCAATTTATTCAATCCATGATAAACTATATTTTGATAAGAAGTTACCCTTTATAGTCACCGTAGTTTTCTTTCCATTTTCAAATCATTGAATATTTAGTCGAAAATATAACTAAACGTAATAGCTGAACAGCCAAAGGTATATGGCACAACAAAACAAGTGGATTGATATTATGGAACTATCATTAGATTTAACAAATAGATGAAAGGTAAAGAGTGAAGTGTTTTAAAATAAAGGCATCAATAAATACAAATAAACGGCTCGTACAGCGAACACTCTTTTCAACATTGAAAGCCATTGCCGACATTGAAACACGTCGGCAGTGTGTTAGCTTGATTTGAGTGTATACTTATGAAGTTCATAAGTAGCTAATTTAAGTTATTAAAGTCAATAAATGATTAAAAAAAATTATTTTTTATTTTTTATTTATTGCAAATATTGGTCATATTAAACTGAGACTGACATCGATATTTGTTTAAACGAAACATGTATCATAAGTGATTTGCTTTGTTGGCACACCTGAACGTACCTACGCCTGAAAAATGCTTTCAGAATCTCGGGGCAAAATTTATATTTTATACCAGTAAGACTTAGGGAAATATAGCATATCCCTCACACATCCAATTTACATCCTAATTGATTCTTAAACAAGAATAACAGTTCTTCTGTTGCAATATCTCCTTACTTGAGAGCTGCGTTTACCTTTAAAGAACTTTCATTTAGGAAACCTTATAGTAAACCGAAACGTAACATGTATATAAACAATTAATTGCCATGGAGAAGTGTTAATAATAAACAATTTTGAAAACCTGCCATATGTGAACCGTTAGTAATGAACTGTTATAGTATGTTTTTATTGATGAACATCGAAAGTTATATTTTATTGATGAACTATTACACGGATATCATGCAAAATGTAACTGGTATTTCATTGATATATTATTGGTGAACATTTACAATAATATATCATTATTGAACAGTTACAATAACATATCATTGTTGAACATTTACAATAATAAATAATTGATTATTACAATAATATATCATCGATGAACAATTACAATAATTATCAATGATGAACAATTACAATAAGATATCATTGATGAACAATTACACTGATATATCATTGTTGAACAAGTACAGTAATATATCATTGATTTAAAATTATAAAAATTGATATCATTAATTATAACAATAATAAATCAATGATGAACAATTACAATAATATATCATTGATGAGCAATTACAATATAATATCATTGATGAGCAATTACAATATAATATCATTGATGAGCAATTACAATAATAATTCATCAATGAGCAATTACAATAATTTATAATCATGATATGTTACTGGTAAACGTAGGCTATGACAGTTAAATTGATATCACGAACACTTGCTGCAGGTTGATATTGCTGTTACTTATTAGTAAACACAGGAAGCTTTTATTGGAAAGTGAAGAATTATGAGCACAGTGAAATTAAATAAATATTGATGAGCAAATGCGTTTTGAATAAAAGAGAACATTTATTATTGAACGGTGTTAAATAAAAGAAAACAGTTATTACTGAGCTGATAATATGAATATTATAAACAACTATTATTGGTGAACTTTTAACAGTCAATGGATGCTCTCTTACTCATAAACCACTGTGAGCAGCCAATATTATTAAACTGTTTGATAACAGCTAAAGGTATCTAACATTTCACTCGTTCACAGCTTAGTTTTCACTTGATGACATGGTAATTATAAAAGGGTACCTTTGGTGAACTCATACATATTAACAAATACAGAATATATAAATATAGCATCTGTGAACTGTTACTTGTAAACAATTCCAGTAAGCTATTATTGGTTAATCGTTATCTAATAAAAGTGCAGTATGCTAGTACTGGTGACAAAACACAGGTAATTGTATAAATCAGGTATAACGAGTTACATGTAACTGTCACATTTATCTTTAGTGAGCTGCACTATTTACATACATATTTCTTCATTTAATTTCTATAATTGAAAGTATTTGAATCCAACTGTGTTCGAGATTAATTGATGTCAATTATGCCACTCAGAATGGTAACAAGTCTGGCAGGTGGTCATGTATTTGTTAACAAGACATCGACCCTATAAAGTGGTATAGTTTATCAGATGGCTAAGCTATTGCGGAATTGCTTAAGGGAAGGATGAAATAACGATAAAGTGAATGCTACATATTTATTTTGATTGTGTACTGCAATGTATGACATGTGCGTCAAATACCTCTAATTATTCCTTTTGTGTTTTACATTGTCTCTTTTGCTTATTGTGCAGCATTTTAAACATTATGATGAATGTCATATATGCATTTATGCCGTTTTCATGTAATTAATTTTCCACCATACTCATCCGTATACATGTATATCATTTTCCACTGGCAAGCGGTAACCTCAGCGGTAAAGGCCTTAGAGAAAATTCGTAGTTTCTCCATAAAACGCCTAGCGTAACTGTACATTGTGTGTAGTACATTGCCCATGTGAAACAGAATTTCGCTAGGTAGACTAAACTGATTGCTTCTTTCTGGTAGGTCAAATATTTGTAGAATTAGATAAATATAGTCAATGCTGAGGAATAAAAAGTGCGTAAGGTTTATACATTCCCTTTGAAAACATGTCAAAGCACAATCATAAGGCTAAGAAGTAAATGATGTGGTTTTGGATTTTGGCAAGTTTTCCCACTTTCCCACTTTTTCTTCCGTAATAATTGATACTCGTACGTCAACGGGCCTTGATTTTCCAATTTGATATTGCGCACATACATTAATTGTGTACCAGAGATTCGAATGCGGGTTTGGGAAGGCAGTTATACACATGTTCATCACCTTTTTTCTGTGGCCCGGGGAAAGATCATTGATTGCTTTCTCTTGGATACAGGAACAAGCTTAATGTTTTACCATGGGAATGCTTTACTCCTGCCAAATCTTCTAGCAGCCGAGACGCGACATGTCTGACCTATATAATGCTGTATAAACAATTGGTTGATATGTAATAAAAACCATGTTTTGGACAATAATTATATCATTGATTAAATTACCTTTTTTATTTATCTCTTGACAAACTGGGATTTTTTTTTGATTTTTTTCAGTCGGACCAGTGTTAAGTGAATAATTTTTGCTGAAGATAAAAAAAATGTATGCAGAACATTCTTCAATAGTCTCCCTGTATTATCTCAAGATTTTGTTTAACTTGTAGGCAATTTTTGTACCTGTCATGTGAGTTCTCAAAATTCTGTTAAACTTGTCGTTGGCGATTTGTTTCCTTTCAGGCGAATTCAAAGTAAGTGAGAGTCCGATCGTGTCGATATTACTGATATCCTGATTCATCTCATGTATTCAAATTAGTTTAGAATAATCTTTTTAGACGTTCGGAATTTGAAAATATTTTGTTTGCTCATAATATCAGTAGTACTTGGCAATCGGATCTCACTAAGATGTGAATATCAGCTGCACTTTGTAATAATACGCATATAAAATAATCAAAGACAATATTAACTTTTGTATGAAATTTATTTTTCAACAATTCAACATTTTTGTTGATCAATGTTGAAGCACCAGATATTCAGAAGTTCGTGTATTGGACGCAATAAATTATACAATTAACTTAAATAAATAAATGAATATTTGTACAAATGGCATCTTATGATGAAAGATATAACAATGATGTTGGAATTGTGACGAAATGAAATACATAAATAACTATGCTGAAACACATTATTCAAAGATATACATTAATACACGAAAAGGTGTGTGCTATATACAGTCACTAGCGTCACAAAGACACCTTTTGAATGGACAGTTTGGTCCGCGTTTCTCGGGTTAAATAAATATTTACGAAAACAGGGCTTTTTTCGCGGCGTAAAATATGAATTGATATCGAAGATGAAACTGTTGTAACAGCCAGACATGATTTAAATAAATAAATAAATAAACTGAGACGAAATTACCGATAAAACGCCAGTAACTTTGCTTGGAGACAGATCATGTATATATTAGTGTATACTTGGGTTGGCGAAAGTTATACACAACTTTTGGTCGGTATGCGTATAATTTATACTGAAAACATCGGATTACAAAAATAAATTCAATACTTGAAATGCGTGCTATTGTAAACTCGGAGGACATTGATTTATATAGATACATATATTTATGATTTATAAATATACATATCTGTATTTGAATTCAATCTGAATCATTTTTACGTTAACTTTTTTTGACGTGTCAATAATGATACATAATGTCCCCCGACAAATGCTATCTATCATACAAAAAAACTATGTTTAATATTTTGCACACTTTTCGCACAACTCATACGTGAGATGAGATAGCCTCTTTGCACTTTTACCCGTAATACATGATGAGTAATGGCGACACACATGAATAATGATTATCACAACTCGTGCCCGAATTAACAACAATAAGTGGCGATGAGGAATGAATGAAGATGAAGAAAACAACACGTGTAAAATTTATGAGAAAAACACATGGGACCTGTTGCAATTAAACATTTACATTTAACTTTGGCATTTTATAATGATCTGCGCGGACACACAACCACGGCGAACAAGTGTCACGTATAGTCATCATAATAATAATAGCACTCTCCGAAAAGCAAAACAACCTTTCAAACATCAATAAATAAAAATAAATTAGGTTTAAAACATTTTTCACTGTTCTCTAGTCACTTTTGTCCTTCACATGAACAGTTTTTCACATTGTTTTCCAAGCAGTCCATTTTAATCCTTGTCACATTATCACGATGTGAAGGCTAGCGTGTGTGTATTTTCCCTCATCCTGTATCTCATCTGTACGTCATTGGTCGGCGGCAGAATCTCATGTCCATAATATTTCACGTCCAATTCTGTTGTTTCACCCTCGCATAGTTCAAAGTCAAATTTATAGACGAGCGATAACAAGAACCATTTTCCTTGCGATATTGCGTACTTTTTACCGGGACACAACGATCCAAAGGAGAGAACTGGGTTTCTGATCTCTTTGCCGTATTTATAGAATTTGGCATCTACGAATCTGTCATGTTTGTATGACTGAAAAATAAAAGAATACAGAACATAAGTATAAATTCATATATGCAATTCAAAATGATTTTTAATATGATAAGTGAATCGATCAATAGTTGGAAAAAAGTGTTAATTACAAAAAGAAGTCTTGAATTTAAATTTGTATACGACTTACTGCCATATATGTATATTTCATCATAAAGAAATCAATGCCTACCTCTGGATTTTCGAATATTTCTGGGTCCTGGTGGATGGTGGGTGGGTACATAGCAATCTTGTCCCCCTGACGCAAGTTGTACTTTTTGCCGCCCTCCTCAAACGTTGTATCGGCAGTGATAGCACGAACCATGAAGACCCCACTGCACATGCGTAGAGTTTCCTTTGTGTTGCTGTCTGTTAAACATCAAAAGAAACGAAAATAAGTCTAAATTCAGAGAAAAACTAATGCGTGTTACATATGCAGATTTGTATATAATTCTTTATTACTATATCCTTTTTTTTTCTTCAAACATATTCAGATTTTCCGTCGTATTTTAATTTTTCAAAGTATTATTACAGATGATTAAATGAAACAAATTATATTGAGTGTGTACATACCTAATAAGGCCATTCCGTCAATGTCTTCAAGTGTCAGGTTGACCTCTCCATCCTCGTTTACTTCACCATTTGAGATTTTTGTGTCGACGACTTCTTGAATCTCTTCCCTCAGAGCATTCAGTGCTTCTTTGTGCTGCATGAGATAAAACACAGCCCAGAAAGCCATTCTGAACGTGTTGTAATTCACGTGTAAGTAAACCAAATTGTGTCCAATTATGTCCTTTTCAGTTTGTCCATGGTCCAACATGAACTGGGTTGAGAATCTTATATACTCTGACACATCGTCTCTGCTTAAAAGTTCGGCTGATCCAGGCTGCTGGCACAAAACACTTAGGGCCTTTAGCGCTTTGGGGAACAAGTTAACGGGCATTCCGAGCCAAAGGTAATTGAAGTATTTGTGGAATAGATCAAAGTTTTTGTAAACTGTTAAAGGTTCGAAGACGTCAGTTGACTTTCCTTTGCCGAAGATTGTATAGAACATACTAACAAACAATGTTTTGGAGTTGAACTGTCGAAGTCCGTCCGTTCTCCATTCTGTTGCAGGTCCAAAACCCTCTGAGCTCGTAACCCCAATGTGTGTAGCGTTCAAGTACTTTGAATACTGTTCCATGCCTTTGTGTAAATGCGTTCCGCGCACTTTTTTACCTGCTTCTTTCAACATTTTCTTTGAATCCATAAGAGCAAAACTGAACACATTGTGGTTCACTTGTTTCTGGATAGGATCGAAGTCAAAGTTTGGCTCCTTCACAAATGCTTCATATGAATGAGGGTCCATAACAACAGTAAGGTGTTGGTGAAGTAATCTGATGGTAAAGATGTCTCCTAGCTTCTTCTGCGTTGCGTGTAGATATTTAACGGCATGCTTGGAAAAGTCAGCTCCATTTCCCCAAATGAAATGACCCTTTGGGATCGGTGGTTCATTGGTCCTTCTGAAGAAAAACCAACCATTCTCAGATTAGTTATTGATAACTTATTTCAATATCATATTCTACAAATTTCACTAAAATACAACTGCTTTAACTTAAATATGTATATTTTGTGCTCTTTTGGATGACTGACAGTTTATGTAGAGATAATCATAATAGCTTACCTTCTCCTATATAAGGTCTTTAAGTAGGCGACAGTCAACAACACGGCAACTGCTACTAGATAGATTGATACTGCAACCATTTTGTTGATTTCTTCTTTAGTTGATAAAATTTAACTTCCTTGGCTTGTCTTTATGACGATATATAGCAATCGATTTCAGATGATTTCTTGGCGTAGGGTAAGGCTTGTTTCAAGTTTTGAGTTCTGCAAAGATAAAAAAAAAACACAAAACATAAGTTTAAAGTTTACAAATACAATGTAATACACTATAAAATAACTACGAAACGTTTCTGCTTTAGAGTTTTCACGCCATGATGCTCACTTTATAGCGATACTGTCACGCTGCTGAGACACGTGTGTGTTACAAGCCAGGCCGGGTTGTCAATGAAGAGGGGATTTTCCTACGGCTTCAGTGAAACCATACGTCAGCGTTATAAATAGCCAGACTTAAACACGGAGTGAAATGTTTCGTGAATGACCAACAGTAGTACAAACAGTTGGGGGAATACAAGTGACTTTAAAGCTCTCTGCTTTGATTATCACGATATAACTCGCTGACTAGTTAGGTTATTGATAATGGTATAACAAGCATTATGATAAGTATCAACTAATACCGGCACAGTAGGCAGGTGTTATTGGTCCGCCCCTAGAGTGATTGACATTTCAAGTCATAATAACATACCGGCACGCTGGTTGTTAAGCATAAAGCGTTATCTTGTTACGTAATGAAACAGATAGTATTAGTCTGTAATAGTATGATGTCGATACAATCAACACTGTAAAATCATGAACATGGCGATACATATGAAATTTCTGTAAATACGAACATAAAAAATTGTTGATTTAATATTTTTCAATTTAAATCAGAAACGTTTAAGTTAAAATCATATAAAACATAATTAACAATGAATCTCAAGAATTTTAAGGATAACTTTAAGCGTAAATGAGCTATCCTATAACAAAAAACATATAATACAAACCAATGTACAGGTAAGACTATTAAAATGACAGTGATATGTCTAGTTCAAACATAACACTTGTAAATCCCAGAGTTTAGATAATCCATAAGGTTGATACAACTGTCAATGTTAAGCATCCATATATAAGCCGGACACACACCGTTAAAGTACCATGTGTTCAGCCTCTGACAATCTAACGAGATAGGTATACTTACTCGTTGCGGTTGATCGTAGATGCAGGTTCTGGTTTGGTACGGTGTGTACCTCTGTATTTATAGACCACGCTGGAATATTGTTTTAATAGGACGTCTCCCTTATTGGCGCAGCCAAACGGAAATGAAATTTGACTGACAGGTTAGTCATCCTGGTCTTGAATGAATGTGGGCGGAGCCTTAAAACACGAGAGCAGTGTGTGTGTGTATGCTTTAGCTGTTGTGTATATACAATATTTGTTACCGCTGTTCTGTGTAATACTCCGTTAAAGGGACTATTGCGATCGGCAAGGATCAATAGCAGTGCCAAGGTCTAATCATGTTAGTATTTCTATTACTATTTCAATTTGGAAATAATATATATCAACTTATATTTATTGTTTAAGGAATAAGTTTTCTGAATCATTTTGACAATTCAAACTTTTCAATGAATAATTGCCAACTATGTCATAAACAGACGTCAAACCCCCACATTTACAGGAAAACACAATAATTCTAAAATTCCAAATATAATATTTTTATCCATTGGATTATTTTATTATTATGAAATATTGCGTTTTCTCGATCTAATAAACCTTCCAAAATGAAATATGAAAGAGAAGCTTTGTACTGCCAAATTTTTAAAAGATGATTCATATATATATCAGAATGTTTAAGAATTAAAGACACGAAACATTATATCACAATGACCAGAGCTGAATTTAAATATTTATTGATAAATATAAGCTGTTACATAGCATTATAGGCTTGCTGCTTTTTACGAAGATTAATAAAAGCTTAATGATTTTAAATTTGACCCTCAAAACTGAGCCTAGAAATAGACTCGTAAGATAAACACGATGATAGCACAGTTAAAGGACAGACAGGAGAGGGAAGTCACCTGCCTTTACGTTTGTATGATAAGCGTATCTCACATTAATGAAGAAAAAGTAAATGTAATGTTCTTATGATATTGATAAATACTCATAATCTTTTCAGAGATAGTCATTTTAACTTAAAAACAGCACAAAAGAATATTAAACAGCGAAAAGTATAAGCGATTGTTTACTCTATCGTGTCTAGTATCTTACACATATAGATAAGAATATTAGTGTGTATACATATACATATCTCCAATATTAAACATATAGATAAGAATGTTAGTGTGTATACATATACATTTCTCCAATATTAAACATAGCATTTCAAATGCTTTTGTACTTAAAGTAGACTTGTTTTCTTCCTCAAATCATTGTAAAGTTTGGCCTCCGTCTTAATTAATATATATTTGCTCCCTTCCCCGATTTAAAGAAAGTTGTCTGGTTATTAAGATCAATCACATGGCCCTTTAATGAGGGTGGACTTGTCCCTAAGGTGCTGCAATCATGCCTTGTGAATCCCTGTTTAAGTAACACAGGTCAAACCCCTGAGTAAATAATTGTGTCCCCTTTTCACGCATTGCCTCTCCCTTGTATGTGCTGTCCTTCACTTTCGATGCTAAATTTGTCAGATGTCGATTTAAAAACTTTTATCACACTTCCAACAAAGCAGGAAATCAAATTACTCAACATATTTCAGAATATATGAGCTAACGCTTACTTGCTAATAGAACACATTTTCGTGACAAACAACCTGTTGTTTAATGAATAATTTCATCAAACCACGAAAGTAGATGAATTAGGCTGAGCATTGTTTTGGCTTTGAAGAGAATAGAAAATATGTCAATAAAGTTTGTTAATGAACACATTTGGTAGCAACGTTCTAAATAATGACAGGATAAACATGACGGTGTTTTATAATTCCAAGGTTAATTAACACACGATAGGGTGCTAGTTTTATTTATCTTTCCGGATGCAAAATACTTAAGAGTGTACGTAGGATCTATACACAACAGAGCGAGCCATTTGTATTGTCTTACGTTGAATTGACATGGATGCTCGGAAGTGATTGAATTAAGGGGAGATGACGACGCGAGAAAACGGCCAGCTGTTTATTGCTACAATAGATAGACGTATATACACACAAGTATACACATCCGAGTAGCGCACATATAAGCCTAGAGCGGCCCTCTTCTGGCTGTGATACCGGATCACTAACAGCTACTGATGAAAACGTTTTGATTATGAAACCACCGGCAATAGACGTATCGTTATTGACAGCTAAGCGAAGACGAAACAATCTTTTTCACTCAGACGATTTACTAACATTTGTAAAAATTGGTAAAACAAGAATGTTAGCGTAAACTACAAAACGTACATCCTTCTTACTTATTAACGACCCTCCTAACGGAGGTATAACGATAGTACGCCCACGGCTGCGAGCAACATTTCGCGTCGTTCTTGTCATTAAGTGAATTAAATGTCATCGAACAGGTCCCTGGATCCTCATCAGGGAGGTGTTGTGTTAGAGTTACTGTTGTAAAGGTGAGACAATAGTATTTGTGAGACGAAAGGTAGTATTTGTGAGACAAAGGGTACTGATTGTGAGACGAAAGGTACTAATTGTGAGACGAAATGTAGTAATTGTGAGACAAAAGGTAGTAATTGTGAGACGAAGGTATCAAATGTGAGACACATTTGATAAATATTTCAAGATTGCTATTGTAATTTAATCACATGTTTAACATAACCATGAAGAAAAATTCGACTACGACACACTCGTGACAATATTACTCTAGGACCGCCACAAGCATAATGTTAAAAAGGTTATAATATATATATAATCACAAAACAGGACCCTTACCAATGTAACCGTATCATGTCCCCTTATACCAGAAACCTTAATTATTCAAAACTATTCTCACAAGTTAACCTTGCAAATTAGGAACAAATCAGAATCATTACCACGAAACTCTAAGATCACATAAGAAACTTTACAATATAATGCTAGGACTACGTAACAAACATTACCACTAAAGATCTAGGACTAAGTCACAAACCAAACTTGATAAATCTAGGACCAAATAAAAATCATTACAATGTTAGATCGAGGTCCACGTAACAAACATTCCCATTACATATTTTGTGAAATTTAAAAAAAACTTACTCTGTAAAACTAATACCATGTCACATCAACGCTTATCGCTGTTAACTGAATGAAGGATGTGATTTAAGTGTTTTTTATCTGTGAGACCACTTTCAGCTCATTAGTTATTAATTATGACTATTAATAGTACAGTATTTCCTCCACTAGAATGATTAAGGCAGCTGACACATGTAAACACTTCAAGTGTAAGCACACATAACTTTGCATGAACATTTTCCTGTAAAACTGAATAACATTCAATGTATTTACCAAATTAAAAGTACCAATCTATTTCTCTATTTTACCCCCGCGAGGAAGGGATCGTAGACCGCCGTGTCAAAGTAAGTTCTACCCCCTGCTGTTCGACTCTACGCAAGCAAGGGGGTATCTCGAAATGCGTCATATAAGAAAACTGCCCGGACATCTATCAAGATATGAGTAAATATTGTGATGCAGACCGACCATGGTGTGAAGGTCCATACTCTTATGTAGGCAGAACAGTATATCAATAACAACATAAGCCGTTGTTGGAGTTTGATTCAGCGTTAACTCTGGAACATGAGCCCTCCTCGGACTCGGCCGTAGTGTAAGACTGACGAGGGAGTCACACTAGCACTATTGTTTCTGTAACTGTATTTCAGCAGGGATGAAAATAACATTACGAATCTCGACGGGGGTACAATACTGCGTAGGTTTATTGAGTGTCGAGGACAATAAGACGAGATATGTTTTAGTGATAAGAAAAAAATATGAGGAATGTACTAGGTTTTCTGAATGGGAGAAATCACAGATGAAATAATGAAATGAGTTAAGAAGCAGAAGTAAACAAAACAGATTCATCTGTACCTGTGCAGCACACAAATATGTCAAACGGAAGTGTAGTAAAACTGGGCCCCCACTACTGTGGTGTCACTAATCCACTCCAACACTACGTCATAATCTGGAAGTGATCGGGCCCAGTCGGTGACATCACAGGTGTTGATTTGAAGATTTGAAGATGACATGATTCAAATCGGTAATATATCAAGATACATAGTTTGTGTATACTGTATGTGTTTGATAAATACTTACGTCTTTTCTCGTTTGGTCGACTTTAAACACAAGGTATGGTACGTGTAGTTGTGTAAAGTACTGTAAGCCTAACAATTTAAAATGATGATATTCTTGTTAATTTACAAGCAAATTCAGGAACATGTTAATACTACAAATACATAGTTTGTTTGTGGACATGGGGTATTTTATCGTATTATCGGATATTTTGGGTTTTAGAACTAAAAGATGACTAAGCTCAACATTGTCTGCCCACAGCCTTATATGTGTACCAGTAGTTGAGGGGAAAGCGGCAGTCCATCTGAGCACAGCTTGTAAATGTGTTACAAGTTGATGGCTTAACCCGGACAGACAGGATTCAATAAACAAAACAATACACCATCCTAATTCAAAAAAGTTTAACTCATTCATAATTAACTATTCCAACCTTTGAATTGGAAGAATTGGAAGAATTTAAATGTGTCTTCAGAGGTAAATAAGTTAATCCGACTTTTTGTTTTAATAAAACACCCCATGTTTAGTATTACATATTTTGATAAGTCATTAAGTCAATTATATGAACCGTCAACTAAACCAGAAAATGGATTAAAGACAAATAAACACCGACCGCAAACAAAATTGATCCGAATGTCGCGTGACAGCAAAAACATCGACATAGAGGGTGTATTTGAAATGAATAAGTATTACAGATTTTACTGTTTGGGAAATATTGTTGTTTGTACTGTGATCGGGGACTGGTAATATTGTTGATTGTACTGTGATTGGAGGTTGGTAATATTGTTGATTGACTGGTAATATTGTTGATTGCACTGTGATTGGGGACTGGTAATACTGTTGATTGTACTGTGAACGGGGACTGGTAGTATTGTTTATTGTACTGTGATTGGGGACTGGTAGTATTGTTGATTGTACTGTGATTGGGGACTGGTAATACTGTTGATTGTAGTGTGAACGGGGACTGGTAGTATTGTTTATTGTACTGTGATAAGGGACTGGTAATATTATTTATTGAACTG